AAAATGGGTCAGACTACAACGTTGTCGTCAAAAGTTCAATGTTTCTTTCTCTATCGTTTTCTCGCCTAAAATGAGTTTTTTATGTTATTCTAACCTATCTTTCATATGATTTTGGTTCTTATTTTGCTACGTTTTTCATACCAATTGTTAGTCCATTATTTATACACTGAATTGACGGCGGATTTTTTCCGCTATTTCCTGATCATGACAAGGAGCACACGGCGGGTGTGACCGGTCGGCAGGGGATGCTCACTCCTCCATGGCACCTGATCCCACCTCTGATGTTTCGAGGTCCGTGTTTGCTCTGCTCTTATTTTGTATTGTTTTATGGACTTTGAAACTGAATACTGTTCGTTATATCCATATCCATCCATACGTGATTTATAAATCAAAAATGTAGGCCAAGCATAAAAACATTGAGTGTATGTCTATTTAACATTCTTATATTCATGTTTTTTTAAATAATGTAGAATAAATCATATAAATATGGGTTCATAACCCCATTTATTGAAAGAATTCTCAGCAGTCTTTAAATCTTCTGTCCAGAACAAATATATCTCCATCTGAAAGTTAAGTTTTCAATCGTTCAGTATCATTCTTCAATATACTCGTTAAAATCGAAGAATCGCTATTGCGTCTATCTGCTTAGTAATGACCAATAGCATCTTGTATGTAAGCATTGGTACCCGTGGCCACTATCAACATTGACTTCTTGAGCGGTCGATTTTGTAGCACTGTTTGTTCGGCGCTGGAAACAGTAGTTAGAACTCTTTTCTTTATATACATGTTTGTACCATCTACAACAAGGTGACATCTTCGCCATCTGCAAATAGTTGCTTTGTGAAAGTTGTCAAACTGTTGTTTCGTGAGATCTGTCAAATGCACATAATCAGTGTCTGATAATCCAAGAAGATTATCAACAAAAATTCATTTTAGCTTGTTCAACACAATCATTTGAACTTTGTTTAGCAAATTTATTAAATCTGTTCTGTTGAATATGGTGTGTTCTGTCACATTTGAAAGCATTTTTGTGCATTCTTCTTTTAACTCAACTTCTCTAAAATGTTTTTACAACACCTGGTACCTTCATTTATAATTGTACCAGATTCTATGACAAAGGTTGTTCTCATGTCTTCATCTATTACAACAAGATCTTTCCCTTACATGTATTACAAAATTGACTTTTTGCATGCGAAGACATTTTACGAGGAACTTCAAACTAAATTACTCTTTGACTACCAAGGGATGAACACCTTAAACAATGTTCATCTATTTCTAATAATTTCTTATGGTTTGAAATTTTCATTTCAATTTTGATGTTGGTTTAAGGTGGTTATGAAATGAGTAGGAGTTGTATAACACAGTTTTCCAATTGCTAATGTTAATACGGAGCGATAGTACATCAATTTGATACCCTTTATCATAAAAATGCTCAAAAGCACTAAATAACCAATATATCATTAAAATGGATTTTTATCCTGATGATTCGTGGATTTCTTTTTAAAAGCTGAAATTTTGTAGTCATTATACATGTAGGTCACAAAACGGCCCTTTGGAGTTTTAACAATTGATATTATTATAAAGAAAAGATTCGTCACAAGAAACGAACCTGTGAAATAAAACATTCATTGCCTCAAACCAAACAAAAGTTATGTGCAAGGTCGTAGTTTTTGCGCACAAACAGATAGACGGACGGACAGGGCTAAAACTATATACCCTCGAAGCTTCGATTACAGGGGCATAAAAATAAGTAATAAAATATTTTCTCTTTGTTCTTAATTCGAATCGCAAACACTTTCAATGATAAAAGAGCGTTTAAAAAATGTCCATGTTGAGGTTTCCGTATGGAAGCTTATGGCAAGAGTTGAGGTTTTATTTAATGCAGATCAAGCTCTAAAGGTCACTGTCAAAAGATCACCATCTTTGGTAGCAAAAGGAAGGTCTAGTCCCAAGGAATACACCTGTGAAATTAAAAAAAAACTCTAGTTTTAACTGTTCAAACCTTGTGAAGTTAATTTTTTTTTCTTATAAAATCTAATTTCAAGATCAAAATATTTGTATCCACTGAAATGTCACAATATAACAGATGTGAAGTATGAAAGCCTTAGCTCCAATTGTTCAAAAGTTATGAAAAAGTTTAAAGTGTGATTTTGTGGTAAAAGTGGGTCAAACTCCAAGGTCGAAATCAAGAGGTTTTTTTTTAATTATTGAAGCTACACATTTTTAGACGTGTTCGATACACACATCCATGCACTTTAATGAAGTAAACTTTATCCTACACACAGTGGTAAAATTCATTTACATTGCAATTCAAGGGACCTTGAGATTTATTTCAAATTAAGTGAATTTTATTAAATCTATATGCCTTAAGTTATGTATAAAATGTAAAGAAAAAAAGGGGGAATGCGGTCAAAACAATAATCATGTGAAAAATATTTTTATATTTTGAATCGCCCATTCTCTTTTATAGAAGAACATATTGTCACAGGCCGAATTTTGCCTTGATAGGGTATGACAAAATTGTAGATAATGCAATATTCCTTATCATTAAGATATGTTGGAACTTTTGAAACAATTCAAACGACATCGTATTTATTCACTCATGTTTGAAAACTATCAAATTCGTTCTGGATTAAATATAATTCGTCGTGGAAAAGGGGGTCCCTGATAGCAGTTATGTCACATCATCTTTTTTATCTTACCGGGGACAGGAAATACAAAAGGATTAGGTAACTGGAATTTCTGACCTAGCAATATATTCATATGCTAATCAAGGCAACGGCAATATTTTCTAACTGACCAATCGGCTAAATAAATTTCTTTACAGTGAGTACCACAATAATACTATGGAGATATCATGCTTGGAAAGAAGGCTTATTTTGCCTGGTTTATGATTAATATTTTTAACGCATTTTAGCCACAGATTAGACATGGATTTACATATATACGATTTACTAGATCACAATTACAAATAATTGATTGATAAATATACACAGTTTAAAGTTTTGTAAAGTGTTTGGTAGGTAATTCGTTAGCCGTATGTCTACATGTATTTTTCTGAGTATCAATGAATACAAGTTTCATGTGCATCTTTTGCTCCAAAGCCGTAAACGCTTAGAGGCCATGCGTATTAATAAGTATAAAGTATAAACAGCCTTGGCTGACAATTAAAAGTTGGAAATGTAGAAGAGGATAAAAGGTAATTTGAACTAAACCACGTGTCTCTGATAAAATGTAAACATGTAGTAAACCAGCATGTTTTTCGTTCTGCCATCGGATTGGACAATTGTTTTCGGTAAGCGACTATGTGCGAAATAATAACATTGCCATATAAAGTAGACTTCTCGGACATACATATCTTCTAATGTACTAAGACCCGCCCATTCACTTTCATAAAAGAACATTGTGTCACAAACCAGGCCGAATTTTGCCATGATAGGGTCTAAAATATCATAGATAATGCAGTATTTCTAATAAATAAAATATGTCGGAACTATTGAAACTATTTAAAAGGCATCGTATTTATTCACTCATGTTTGAAAAATATGAAAACTGTTGTAGATTAAATATAATTCGTTGTAGAAAAGGGGGCCCGAGATAGCAGTTATGTCACATCATCCTTTAACAGAAATCTTATAACAAATCTTAAAACAATCAAAACTTTGTATAATTTTTTTTTTTGAATTTTTTTTTTTTTTGAGGAGGGGGGGGGGGGCTTTTTTTCATTTGCATATGTCTTAAATGAAAAGCACAAAAATAAAAACAAGAACTATTACGGGGGGGGGGGGGTATTTTTATTGATTTAATATGTCATGTGGCGTCTGCTATTTGTAATTTAAACAATCAGAACGTGGGACTTTGACCTAAACTATAACTTAAATTGCCATTTGGAGGAAACAGTAGAGATGGACACTGTTGATTGGGAGATTTTATAGCAAATCTTTAGTACTGAGGGTAAATTTTCCTGCAGTGAGGTTTCTATTGATGTTCTGGCCTCTACATCTCAAAGAGAAGCAGAGCAAGAAATGAAACAAGCATTTCAGCCAGAAGAGAAAGAGAATTTACAGTCCCAAAACTTCAAAATGCCAAAAAAAAAGATTTAAAGATATATCAGAAATGGAACTCAATGAGCTCTATTAGTGTTAATGTAATATTACGTTTCAAAAACCGCGTGAGTTCAATGTGTGGAACTGCACCCCTCATTGAGGGCAGATTGGCAATACTAGTGAGTTGGTTTTGCTTTCTTGTTTTTCTACGCTGATTTTTTGGATTATAATTCAGTATAAATGGCTGTGGTACACTTTCAGCAAGTCACTTTGTTCATTAATACGCAACATTTTTTCTTTTCTTAGGTACATGTATTAAGGATAAAATTTACAGTGTGAAAGTACAAGGATTTTACAAAGTTAGGTTAATCTTCTCCCGGCATATTCTTTGACATAACTCACGTATTGTAGAAGCCATTTATACTATAGGATATTTTACAGAAAAAAATAAACTTCTTAAAATTTCATTTAGGGACCCTTGGTCAAATGTGCAGCTTTTCCGGACTTGATGATTGTTTATTGCAGCCATCTATACTGAATTATTCGCAAAAGATAAGTTCGCTAGACTTTATAGAAAAACTTAATCCTCAAGAAGCCGTAGAGGAACATTGTAGGTGAGTGCATACATTTTTTTTTATTTTTTTATTTTACATGACAAATGCAGAAGTATACTAATAGAATTTTTTTTGAAAATACTATAATTGAAATTGAAGAATGCAAAATATAAACATTTGCGTGATTTTTCCGGTAGTGCTCCAACAAAGTTTCTGAGTAAAAGCAGTTCTATTTTTCAATTGAATTCTTTTTGTGAAATTTGCCACAAAACAATCAAGTTTGCCATTGAAATATTTATCATAAGGATGTCCCTGATATTGCCTTTTTTCTTTCTGATTGTAACAAACAGTATCCAGTGGAAGCTAGTGTCGTTTTTTCAGGACGTGAAAAGATGTTATCCTTCAAAGGGCCACTCTTTGATCTATGATACACTGACTTCTGCTGTGAAATATCTGTGTACAGAAGGAAAACCAGGTACTAAGACTTATACATAGTTTTATTCTACACAGCGTACAAACAGAAAATATTGTAAACATAAGTGCTTAAATTAAATAGTAAAAAAGAAAATAAAGATGAAAATATCGCAAAACATTTTATAACACGTCTTAATGTAATAACATACAAAACCTTTTTTTTTTCTTCAAAACTTTAAAATTTGCTCACAGGTGTAATAAAAATCAGATAGAAAAAATAAAAGAAATTTAATTTTGGAAATAAATATCTTTGTACAATAGGATTCATTGATAACTTTCACTGCATAATGAACAACTTGGCGGGGAATCATATTAACATTCTGCAGTCTTGTAAGAAACTCTATCCAGAACTTATCAACGCAAAAAAACGCAACACTGGTTCTGATGTTTCCAGTGAAGGATGCAGGTAATTTTTTTCGAACACACTAACACACGGATCTTTAAAGGAAACACATGATTTGCTGCAATATTAAAATGCATGTAGTATTTTCCTTCCAGATATGTATAATGCAGATACAAAAGGCTATTTTGAAAAAAACAAATAATAATAAAAAGCATTAAAAAAACATGTTGAGACCCATAAATTCGATTCATTTATCATATAACTTATTTCATTGAAAATGAGTAAAGATTTGGATGTTTCAAAGGTTTGGAAACTTTGGTTGTTTCAAAGGCTTGGAAACTTATATTTAAAAAAATTATGTTTAAAATTCATATTAAATTTATCGAGCGTTAAAGAAAGTTTTGGCCTGTATTGAAGACTAGAACCAGACTCTTTAAGGTTTAAAATTATTATTATTATATGAAATTCACAGAGCGTTAAAGAAAGTTTTGACCTGTATTGAGGACAAGGCCCAGACTCTGTGTGGTGGCAAAGCAGCAACTTTTATACGTTCTTACCTGGAAGCCACGATGAAACCTCTGACAAAGGTCATTACTTGTAACAATGGTATGTATCTTTATAGAACAAATTATTTTAAGGTATTGATCACACCTCTTGTGTTTTGGAGGTCCGTGTTTGCTCCGCTCCTATTTTGTATTGTTGACATTTGAGCTCAAATACTGTTTGTTATTTAAGAAGTCAAGTTACACTGTACAATATGCGTTGGGACACTTTATGCGAAGAGGCTTATTAAAAAAACGTAAACTGATCCAACCAATGTTATATAAGCGGGATTTAGGTAGCTATTAAAGAAGAAGGTACAGTTTGAGCTTTTTGTATCCTGAAAATTTAATGTTCTTAAAAAGTAATGAAATTGGCTTTAACAATAGTTGAGTAGATGAATATGATAAATCATTAAAGAATATAGCATGAAGGAGGATCTTTCTGGAAATATGACGCCATTAATTTGGTACATTCTAAGTTTAATGCAGAAAAGCCTCAAAATGACTCATTTCTGTACTAATTTTCGTTTTAATAATAGTGTCTGCCACCGTCCCCCAAGTTTTGGATATATTATGTAAACTGCTATGAAAAATCCCATATCTCAAAATCATCCTAGACGACGGTGGAAGAGTATGTTTTCTGAAAGAAAATTCCACTGAAAATTGATGTCTTCTGCACCTTTTTAAGAAAATATGGGAAACTGCACAAGTTAATGATGTCACAATTATCATTTAGGAGGTCATGCGAGAAAAACGATTCATAATATTCTTACAGCAGGGAATTCCTATGATTGAGAAAGAATCAATTTTGATTTCTTATATCACTTTCATATTTTAGAAAAAATATTGGGCTTAATTTATATTGAAAGTGTACCTTGCTCTTTAATCAATATAATTTAAGTTTCCCAAATAATGACTTCAAATTATGCATATTTTTAAAATAACTTCAAGTAGTGGATTTGAACCCTGCGACGAAAGGATCAATTCCTTACTCCGCAAGTGTTGAGCAAATTCTCTAACCACTGTGCAAGGCGTGCAATAGTTTATGTATGGAGAGAGATCAAATTAAAAAAGGGAAAAAACAGGTTTCGGAATGAAAAACGCGACTATGTTAAGGAAGCATATACTCAGTTAATCATTTCTCTTGAAATTTAGACTTTTTAAAGGAATTTAAGTTTGATAATTCACACAAACCGCTGATAAACGTAAACTATTATTAACTGTTACATAAGGATAAATAAAACTGTGTAACGCAAAGACGTGCACCACCACCATGGCATCATGTGACTTCTATTATTAGCAAAGTGTTCCTTAATGTAAACGCTAACAGAACAACCAATACCCCGGAGTTTATTTATTTCTTTGAGCAAATAATATATATTTGAACAACATGTATTTTGCCTTAAAAGTGCTGCTAGAATCCCACTGTCCTGTCAGTAAAATAATTATTCCACACATTTGCACGAAACCTTACCCGATGCTTTGAATTTTATATATATGAACCGAGATTTTTCGTAAAATCATGCTTAACTCGAAATTCTATCAGCACTTTTCAAGTATTTTAGAAGGCAAACTTTTCACAAAATCTTGTGTTTTGAAATATCCAGCTTATAGTTGTTCTGTTGCATTATATTTTTTCTCACGAATGATAGTAATTAAAGGTCAACGTGAATATGTTATTGGCTGAGTGTCTTCGAAAGAGAATATAATCGATGAAAATAAATTATTATACAGATAATATTCACGATACCTGCGTTTAAACCCCATATCTTTGTACATGACGTCTTAGCTAAATTCACCTTGTACGATATGATCAATTCCCATGTTACTTGATATACACAATTATTTACATTTGCTGATGTCTTTCCTTATATAACAATGATAATGAAATTGAAATTCAATTTTCACTGACATGCAGTTGGTCACATGATCTGATTTTCTGGCATTTGGAAAGCAAACTGCATGAGCCATTTGGAAAGTCCAGAGGCCCATTTTCCAAAAGAACTTACGACTAAAACCAAAAACTTCAGTTGAATGTAAAGTTTTGCAAAATTAATATTTCTCTTCAAAGTTATTTGTATAAAAATATCTAACCACATTTCTTTTAAAAATATTAAAATGAATTTTGATATAATATTTATTAAAAAGTTATATAAAAAATTAAATTTAGTCTTACGTCGTAAGTCCCTTGGTAAAATGAGCCCCAGATTGTGAAGTCACATGACGTCGTAGATACGCTATGTTGATTTTCCATAAAAAGTCCAAAATAGCGCCTTTTTTCCTTGTCACACGAATAAAAAATGAAAATATAAATACAGTATGAAAAAATAAATAAATAAAATTGTTATTGTTAATGTTTATACGTTTCTTTTCATTTTCTGATTTACTTAAGCAATGAAACATTATTTCTTGAATGATATAGTCTCGTACATGTAACTGCAACGGTGTGTGCAAACATATTGAGTAACGCTATGAAAATCTGTTTGCACACACCGTTGCAGTTATGGGACTATATCTTTCAAAAAATAATGAGTCATTCTTACTGATTTCATGATTATAATTCTATCATGTTAACTTAAAATATTCTGTATGCTTCCTTATAACCCCTGCAAATGCAAAACAAAAAACAAAAAACAAATCGTGTTGTGTTAACCTGTGTATCAATACTAATTCCAAATGTTTATTTATAGTAAAGAATGTCTACATAATTTCATAAAAAGATAATTCTTATTACATGTCCTTGACCGAGTTATTTGCATGATGAGAATAGCTTCGTAAATAAGACAGTTACGTCTTCTGATACACACGTTCTGGAGACAGTCAAGTACGTCTGTCTGTCCAGTTAGGATTTTCCATTGTGAATTAAACATGAACTAAATAATGAAATTAATTGTTAGCATGCTAGGATTGATATTATGAAATCAGAAAGAAAGCTACTTATTTATTTAATTTTTTGGTATCGCTTGTCATGTTGTCAGGTACGTAAAATACCTATTACTAAGTATACAGTAATGTTTCTTACTAGTTATATGAAAATATACTCATTAACGAAAAAATAAGTCAACAACAGTATATCATTGTTTTCTAAGCACGCGTATTGCGATATTTGTGATATTTTTGTGTATTAATGTATCACACTTTAATTTCACCAAGAACTCTTTTTCAGGGACAGTTACTCAAGAATGTGAGAATACAAAGAATCTTGATTGCATGAACGAATTCTCTTTAAATGTAAAAGAAATCTTAAAAATGTTTCAATCACAAGATATAGAGGGGATGAATGAGGAAAACACAGTAGATAAATTTTGTAGGCAAGTATGATATTTTCATTTGAGTTAAAACAAAACACACGTTAAAAATTACGTAAAGATTCTTCAAAGACTAATAATTTATTTGATTTTTTCTGTTAATGCCTTGTTTGGGATGTAATTAAATTATAAGGTGTTTTCTCATCACACCTACATATTCTTTAACGCTACTGTGTGATATCAATCTAAATACCTGAATTTGCAAACAATTGATGTTTAAAATTGATGTTTAAAATTTAACTGAATTTTAATTGCTAAATATTTTCTTGAACGACAAAGTAAATACCTGAAATTGCAAACAATTGATGTTTAAAATTGAACTGAATTTTTATTGTCAAATATTTTCTTGAATGACAAAGTATTCAAACACAGTTAAGCAACTGTGTGAAGGGCTACAAGACCACGTGTATATCACCAAGCACACTCTTTGTCGGCGCAACCCTTAATGCTGCAAGCTTCTTATGTTCAGAGGGAAAGCAAGGTAAGAGGTTCTTCAAACCGTTTTGATTAAAGAGCAAATGACGAGACCTTAAGGGAAAGATAATACAAACTTTTTACCCGATACATGTATATTCAATAAATTTTATTAGCTAAATATTACAGATAACGAACATAATAAAGCTGTAAGAGTCAATTGAAACAATATTTATCGGGAACAGAGCAAACAAAGACCTAAATACATCAGAGCTGGGATCTAGTGCCGTGAAGGAGTAAGCATCCCTATCGACCGATCACAACCGCCGTGTGCTCCGTGACATGATCGTAAAGAAATAAAATTCCGTAGACAATTTGGAGTATAAATGATAACCTTACAACTATGGGAAAAAGGTCAGTCAACATCTGACTTAATGATAGATTGTACTTTCTGTCGTTTATCAACCATTGACCAATATGATGAGATATGTAAAGGCTACGCAGCACAGTAAAGGTTTAAGTAAGGAGGCGGGGCCTAATTTGTACGGGAAATGTTTACTATGACGTCACACATAATACAAGGTCTTCAAAATACCACGAAATGAAATTATTTGCTATTTCAAACAGCTGGATAGCTGTATACTACATGCAAACTTACTATTACATGCAGTTTTGTCGTTCGTTAAATCCCACACAACATTATATAAACTATGCACCGATCGCAATGCACTTGTCAATGTGACGACATCTCGCAGAAATGACGCAGTTTGTACACAGTTTGAGGCTGATCAAGTCACATTTTGTACAATGAAAAATGTTTTTTGTTCTCAAATAAAATATTATTTGCAGACAAATAAAAAGCCTTTAACTTGAATGCGATGTCTATTTTAGTATTTTTTTTATAAACTGCGCTTACATTCTCCAGACAAGCGATACTGTCGTGTGTTTGTAGGCAGATTCATTGAAAAAGTAATGGAAGGGCCCTAATAAATCGATTAATTGCAAGGGCATACCCTCAATGTATCTTGTCAAGATTTTACACATAAACTCAAAAAGCATTAAGATATTTGAAAAGTGCCGCGAACCTCTTGAAATCTTGCAAACAAATTAATTATAGCTATATTTAATGTAGTTGACCAGCAAAATATTCAACCTGCCGTCCAACAAATTAAATTTTAGCAATTAAAAAAGGAAATCTATGTAGGTTCGCAGCACTTTTCACAAACTACATATCGTGTTGAAAAGGATTATAAATTAAACTAAGATTTTTAATTTGGTTATGCCCTTGCAATATTGAAATTTATAGATGACCTCTAAACTGGAAGTATAATTGC